ATACATTATAATCTGTACATACATATATCCACAGCTTTGCTTGAATTATAAGCCTTCAGAAATTTATGGGTTTCCTTTATTCATGATTTTACAATTACTCCCAGAGAGGGAATTGTTTGGTGGCATTAAATAATTGGTACCCAGTTTTGTCTTTTTTTTTTTTTTTACTTCTTTGTTCTTTGTCTACCAAGCTATTATTATTTTTTTGCTAGTTCTTCTGCGGTAGGGTAGGGTCTTATCAATAATGTCAGGTTTTAATTGTTAAATCTCGTTAAAATTATAATAAAATTTTTTAAAAATAGAATATAGAATAGATACAGATCTGACTATTAAAAATAAAAAACTATCCATAATTTATTTTTTCAACACCTACCATAAAAATCTCCTTTTTTAGCATATCATCTTAAATTAAGGAATAACAAATAAAAGCCTATAGAACTAACCTTAGTTATGAAAATATGGCTTTAGCAATTCGCTCTTTCTTTTATAACACAAATCTAGAACATTAAGTTTGTATTTAATTGGATTTTTAGTACAATTACCTTTCGAATTTATGATGATTTAGTAAATTGCCCTTCTAAACTTTCAATTTTGCCAATTAATCTATTAAACTCGTAAAATTGTTGCAATTTGCCCCAACATAACATATTGTCTTTTTCATTTTTTACATCAGCATTATACTCTTATACGTATACTACATATATACAAATCTCCGTACACTCTATTGTACATCTTTAAATATCAGTCACGCGGTTGAAACTCAGCATATTAATATATAACAACCTAATTCGTTTCTTCTGGAAGCTGTCTTGCCCATATTAATTATGGTTGCTCTTCAAGCCCAATTGTACTGCACGTACGTTTCTTCGGCCCGTTTAGTTCGTTGATTCGAGTTTTTAATTCGAGTTGATATGTGACTTTATGTGAGAACTTTTTACTGTAGCAAAAAAGTTAGATGTGACTGTTTCTGAGAACTTTTTACTGTAATAAAACTCGAATTTTAAACTCAAATCAGTGAAATGAACGAGGCCTTAGTGTACTCGATTAATTACGAATGGTTTTCCCATCTACCAAATAGTACATTTTCTTTCATGAGATGAGAGTGAGTTTAAACATGTTTTTTTTTTATATAATTAATGGGACTTAGATCGTCTGTGCAAAACTTCTAGAGGACCATTTCTAATTTATTTATTTTTTTTCCTCTGAATCGCTTTGATATATTTGTTTGTTTTTATTCTTTTTCTCTTTTTTTTTTTTTTTTTTTGTCTTTTATCTTCTTCTTCTTCTTTATTTATTATTATTTTTTTTTTACGAAAATAAACTCTCTTTTATCTTCATATTTCTGTACAAATGTTTTATCTTGAATCAATATTTGTTTTCACAGTCCGTCGAATTTCAAAAGAGGTTTTTGCAATTGTTTATCAAAAAGGACTGAACATTTAATCCATCAAAACTCATAAAAAAAAAAAAAAGGAGCGGGTCCACCATTTTGATGAGATCCTTTCTTTCTATTGGTTATTGACTGTTGTCATATGGGCTTCTTCTTCCACATTTCTTCTTATGTTTCCTATATTGTTTATAAAACTAGTTTACCAGAGATGGAAATCTTGCGTTTTAATTTGATAAGATTTTATGTAAAAAAAATTTTACTTTAATAAAAAAATTAAATATAATTATTTTTATAAGATTTTTAAAATTTTTTTTACTGTAATAAAATTTTAATTTGAATTTTAAATCAGTAAAACAAAGAGAGTATAGGAAACTGAAATAGAAACCATTCTTATATGCAAAGGAAAAGACGCGATCTGTAATCCGATAAAAGAGAAACAAACAATGGAGCGAGGGAGAGAGACAAAAAAAGTCCTGGTTAACGTTTGATGGACGGAAAGACCTGTTAATTAATGTTATTTTTCTGAAAATTGCTTCTCCAGACCGACTACAATTAAATGAAAATCAAAGGTTGTACCTTTAAATTAAACATTGTAATATCAGAATACGAGCGAACTTGGTTGGGCCAGCAAGTAGAAATTAGCGGAAAATTAAGGTCGCCTTGGATTCCAATTTAATTGGTTCTTAATTAAGACCCGTTCACTCCACCGATTCGAGTTTAGAATTCGAGTTTTGTTACAGTAAAAAGCTCTCAGAAACAGTCACATCTAACTTTTTTGCTACAGTAAAAAGCTCTCACATAAAGTCACATATCAACTCGAATTAAAAACTCGAATCAGCGAACTAAACGGGCTATTAAAGTTGAGTAGAGTTCCGGGTTCGCGGTGAATATTATATGTTAGAATGTATTATAAAAAAGATCGTGAAGATTTATATAGATATAAATAAATATAAATATACATACGGCACACACAAGTATAATATACCAGAGAAAATGAAATATTAAGCATACAATAACTGTGTTTACTTTAGAAGATTAACATATTTAAATCATGAACCGAAGGACAATCAATTTATGGAAACAATGTCATGAAATCTGTATGCATTGTTTGGAAGATTTCATGGATAAAATTACATCTACAAACAATGCATACAGGCATATAACGAAAACCATGAATAAAATTATGTCATGACATTGTTCCCCGATTTTTATTTCGTCTCCATTATATAGAAAAACACCCCAAAATAAGGAGCATCTAGGGTTGGTATACAACTTACAGGCATATAAACGAAAACCATGGATAAAATTATTTCAGACACTTCTGCAATTTTTTGAAATTTCAGAATTTATAAAAGTTACGAAATACCTTTTACGCATCTCAAAAGTTTTTTAACAAAAATTTGGTTGATGTCAAGAAATATGTAAAAATAACAATTTCACTAAGGTTGAAGTTTTTTTTTTTTTTTTTTTTTGTTACATAATTTGAGAAAAACATCGTAAAAATATTATAAATTTTTTAAAAAAGATTTCAAAAATCGACAAGCAATAAATTCCATTCTTAATTTTTTTTTTTCATTTTAATCAATTGTCATATAAAATATTGTATCATTTAGCATGTTTGTTCATTTCACTATTCATTAGCATGTTATGGTACCAATATTACTTGAATCACGGTGAAATTCCACTCATCTTTAAGCTTTATATATAGTTTCTTCTAGTTTTCCTTCTAATATATAGCGCAAGTATACGTGTAAGGAACTCCCGAACGCCCACTGGCGCCCATCCTATTTAAACCAATTCCAACCCTCCAAAACCCAACAATCAAAACTTCCAAACTTATAACAAGCCTCAAAACAGTTCCCCAGCTCCATTCCCCTCCCAAAACTCGCGGGCGGCCAAATTTCCCTCCCCGGCCATGCCACCACCCAGTTTTAATCACAATTATCGCCCTAAATTAACCCCCTACTTACGTAATTAAGTGTCAATTTTGTGGCCAACAAGGTCACTCTGCCAAATGATGCATCATTGTTGAGTATATGCCTCGGAACTATGGGTGGCAATTCGTGTCACGTGTCGTGTTTTAACCATTTTTTTAAAAAATTTACAGTCAACCCGAACACGATCCGTCATACGAAATTTTTTAAAAACCGCAACATGAACACGACACCACAACTTTACGAGTTAACACGACAGGACACGAAATTGACCCGTAATCCTGAAATTGACACGAAAGTTATATATATATTTTTACATTTTTACATATTGAAAATAACTTAAAATTCATGACACGTTAAAATACAATAACATTCATCAAATTAAACAAATAATAGTATTAGATTTTGAATATAACTATCATGATATCACAAGTTCATAATAAAATCTAAAAATGTAATGAAAAATATTTTTTTTTTTTTTGTTTTACGAGTTTCATGTTGTATTCAGGTTAAGCAGGTCCAACCAAAATTGACCCGTCTTTTTCGTGTCAATTTCAGATCAACCTAAATCTGACCCAAATCTTTTTTTTTCTCAACCTTAACCTGTGAATTTCAAATCGTGTTGTCGTATCATGACTCATATTATCGGCCATACTTGGAACCACACTCCTCACAATTTGAGAGAAAATCCCACCCTGTCAACTCCCCTGCTAACTTTGCCGCGGCCGCCACGACCACACACCCAATTGGCTTCTTGATTACGATCTTCAAAACGTTTCCCTTCACGATGTTTATGCTGGCAAATATTAAATTGGTGGCATGCCTTGGTTAATTCTCTTTAATTATATATAATTTGCCCCAACATAGGTACAAAAGAAAGTAAAACTGATCAGAAGTCAAAGCCGGTACTTTGACGACGATTTTAGCAGTCTTAAATCGCTCTTTATTTTCTCTTGATCTTATCCGTAATCTGAGGGTACTGTTGGAACTTCGAAGATTAATATTTTCAATTAGCTTGGGTAAGGCGTTTAACTAATTGACATGTACTTAGGAAATATTCGAAAATTCGCATGTAAAAGGAGCAGTTGTGCCATGCTTGGATACAAAATAATGACAACAACAACAATAATAATAATAACAATATATTAATGGATGATATCAAATTATTTATATCGTGGAGCCCTTATAAATTAAGTTATCAGTTGTGTCTATTCGCGTGAGGAACGTCTGTTGTGGTTCTTATAAATTAATATCAATCACATAACTAAATAAGATAACTGACAAATTACAATCAAGAAAAATAAAAAATAAAAAATAAAAAGAATTCTCCCGTACAACAAATTCTTGAAGGAAAAAAAATGCAAGAGTTTGATGCTGAATTTGATTGGAATGCAGGAGCCAATGTATGACTTTTTTTTATATAAATAATACTTAGCAAATTCTTTTTTGTTTCTTAGCTCATGACAACATCTACTTAAATTAAAATTACTGAATTAACTTGATTTCTAAGTACACATACATCAATTCCGTATCTCATTTTTACGTTCGCATAGACTTATTACGTAATATCCCAATGTACGTTCATCACAATTAAAGCCGTGACTATAGCGTGATCACCGGAAATATGAAGAGAATTAATTGAATATTGCACTATAAAATTGAAGAAAACAGCCAAAATAAAAGGAGAAAACTGGTATAACTACACGATTATAACGAAATATTGATTGATTTTCCTGTCAAAACAACAATTAGCAAAAAGACCACAAATAAAAGAACCAACAAATGGGGGCTAGTGTTTTTTTTTTTTTTTTCCCTCCATTATCTTTAACAACAAATTTTGTCACCCTTTTGTCTCTCCTCTCTAAACAAAACTTAAAAAGTACTCTCCATAAACCCTGAAATTAACCAGCTATAATATGCCGGTAGATATATAGGACTTTTGGGAGAAAGAAATATAAAGCAAAAAACCAAAATCTATTTACAAAACTATACCATAAAAAATCAAGTACTACTACGTAGAGAGCACAAGGTCTCTAGTTGATCAATCCATGCACATATATATATATATATATATATAACTAATGAATTAATAATTAATAATATGATCTCATCATGAAGCAGATGCTTTCCCAGCTTGTGCATGAGAAAATGGATGTATGATCGGCTTAGCGAGGGGCAAGGTCGCAGTAGAGTTGGTGGCGGTGGCAGCGGAGATGGCGGGGTTGGCGGTGGCGACGCGCTCGCAAGAGGGGCACATGGTGAGGGTTGTGGCCGGAAGCTGCATGTAAAAGGGTTGTGAGGTTTTCAAGGCTCTTAGCTCTTGAAGTTCCTTTTGTAACCTCCTATTCTCTTCTGTAAGTGTCTCGCAGCATCTCTTTAAATACTCACAATCCACCTCCGTTTGCTTCAACTTTGTCCTGTGTCATGATCCAGATCCACAGTTATTATTATTATAATAATAATTATTATTATTATTATTATTGCCATCACCATTGGTTTAATTTTCCGAGAAAGTGTTGCTAGTCAAATAATGGACAAGAGAACATGAGACCAAGAAGATCAGAAAATATAAGGAACACCCCATTAAAGTTAACGACACATTTTGATTTGAAACAATATTATTATATGGAGAAAAACGATGAAAAAAAAAAAAAAAAAGAAAGATGTTTACCTTGCTCTTCTGTTTTGAAACCACACTTCAACCTGGCGGGGTCGGAGATTCAACTGTTTTGCCAGTGCAAGCTTTTGCTTCTGCAAGTATTCATATTTGGAAATATATTTATTAATATATATATATATATATATTAAAAAAGATATATTTATCAATATATAAGAACTTGCTTCGGCAAACATTCTTTTCTTTTTTTTAATAAACTGCATGAGACTTCTGCGAACATTCTATTTCATTTGTTGACTAATATTATCCTAAAATAAATTCCATAGTTTTACTGAACAATTCTAGTTTTTGACGTATCATTAAAAAAATACAAAAAATATTATATATTTAGAATGATCAATATAAGAACTTGCTTCTGCAAACATTTTTTTCTTTTATTTTTCTTTTTTAATAAACTGCAAGAGACTTCTGCAAACATACTTTTTCATTTGTTGACTAATATTATTATCCTAAAATAATTTCCATACTTTTACCGAACAATTCCAGTTTCTGACGGATTATTAAAAAAAAATCCACAATAGATATAGGTTCTTACCAACAAAAAAAAAAAAAAAACACACACACACACACTCATAAAAAAGGTAATATATTTGAACATTTAATTTTTTCTATAGACATATATACATATATGTATATGTGTATGACTTACGGGATTGAGAGTGCTGTGTTCCTTGAAGCTCTCTTCAAGAAAAGCTGATTGTTCCTTGGAGAGTCTGAGTTTCTTGCGAGTTGACCCGTTTTCCTCATCGTCACTCGCTCTGGAACTCGCCCTTTCAGTATCCAGCTCTATATTAATATGATCTCTTTTGTTATTATTATGATTATTAATGTTATCTCTTCCACTTCCTGTACTACTATTTCTGACGCAGAAATCCACATGAAACGACGTCAAAGTGCTGTTCGGCGACGATATCGTCACCCCTTCTTCCGTCTCTTCTGTCGCCGCCGCCGCGCCCGCCGCCGGTAGCCGGTTGACGTCAAAACCCTTTCCCAGTCCATCTAAAGAACCCGGTTCAGAGAGAACCACTGTGAAACATTAAAAAAACATACATATATATGAGAAAAATAAACCCAAGAAAACTCCACTAACACCTCGATCCTTATTTTTTTGAAAAAAAGAAAAAAAAATCATCGAGAAAATAAACATATAAAAATTTTATGTATTGGGTTGGTGGGATATATGCTTATTGGTTTGTTATCTTGAGAATTTTTTTTTTCCTACCAAACAAAAGAAAGAAAGAAAGTTGTACTACTCTTGTTTGGTTGCCAGGAAAACCAACGGAAAACTTAAGGCTTTGCGAAACAGTATTAATATAAAGCTTTTGTGAAGGCAATATTTTATAAGAATAATAATACACAAATCTAAGTACGGTTTAAAACATTAATCATCACTACTAATTAAAACCCTTCTTTCCATAAGCATATATTGTTATTAATTTCCCAGAAACCAAATATATAGTATATATCATAAAGAGAATAAAGGGAAACAAAATAAAAGAGCTGGCGATTATTACAGTTATCAGAGAGCCAAGGAAAGCGAAACTGTGAGGAGGTGATCATGTGACTACGGGGAACCGGAACAGAAGGTAAAAGATCAAGCTGAATAGGAACTCCTGGATCTGCAGCAGAAACCCTTCTTGATCTTCTGATGATCTCATGCTCATCACCATCATCATCGTGATGATCATAATCATGATCATGATCTTCAACCTGATCTCTTTTCTCTTGATCTGATCTGAAGGCGTTTCCCAAAGCCATGCAAAACCCTAGCTGATCCTTCTTGTTATTAACCATATTATTCTTCTGTGTCTTGTGATCAAGAAACGAAAATGGCGTCGGAGCTTCGCCTAAGCTCAGACCTAACTCCATTGCTTGGAATAATACTGTAGAAAATGAGCACCAAAACCAGAGAGAAGAAAATGGTCTGTTTTTGTTTTTGATGGATGGAACAAAACAAGGGAAGACTGACGACTATAAAAAGGAGAGAAGAACCCTATCAGATCTTTTTGATGTGTACAAAAAAAAAAAAATGTTAATAAGAAAATATAAAATAAAAACACACCTCAAAAAACACTCTTTTTTTTTTCTCTCTTTTCCTTGTGTGTGCGCGCTAATAAAGATTGACCGACAAAATCCAGGTTGACAAATGCACGTGAATCTATTTAATTATACGGCGGTTCATACACGAGAGGCTCATATCAAAAACAAAATATAAAGGGGGAGATCTTGTCTCAGAAACAAATATATATATATATATATAATTATTGAATAAATAGTATAAGAGATAAGAACATATCAACAGAAAAAATGAATGATATTCTTTGTAGGATTAGGGGATTGGTAATCATTGAGCTTACCTAATTAATGCTGATGATCATCAGGTACAAAGTGGACAAAATGTTTTATTTAATGTTTTCTTAGAACAAAATCATGTAGCCATGTCATCAAAGTTTCCACGTTTGAATAAATTATTAACTAATTGATGGGTAATTATATGGGATTACGTGATTATGTTTTCTAGTCTAATTTTACTGAATTATTGTGTTTGCTAACAAACAAGGGGCCACACTATCATCATAGCATATGGGGGAAAAAATGATTACTCATTTCAACGGCTGGGATCATCTGGGGACAGTTGATTTGTTGTCATCATCATGGTAATAAAAGGTAACAAAACTAATGTGTTCATACCTAGCGCAATAAGCAATAATAATGCAAACACCACGCATTGTTTACTTTTTTGTTTGTTTCAAATGATAGCCAATTAATCAAATTCCATATCTTTTTTTTTTAATTTGCTGTTTTTCATTTTTTTTCTCTATTTTTAATTTGTCAGTGACGCATATTGAATAAGAATGACTCATGTGATAGAGTTCAGACCGCTGACTCACCAACCAAAGCAATGCAACTTTACCAACTATTGTCCTACATGACATCCACTAATTGGGTGGAGACAAATCAAAATACGCTGATTTAGGAACTAATTTGAAGGGAAAAAAGGGGAATATATATTTTGAATAAAAATATAATAATTTTTAAAATAATTTGTGCGAATTTAATGATTTAAAACTCGATTTAAAGTAATCAAATAGTAAAATTATATGAGAATTATAGTGATTTACTCTTAATTTAAAGGTTACATCCACTGTAAAAATGAGAGAATTCACTTAATTTTCACATAAAAAATTACACTTTAATTACTCTCAATGAGACTTAGGGATTTCTCGACATAGAATCCCTTATTTATATCGTTCACCATCGTCCATGTTAGTTTTTCTATTTAATTCGGAGATATTTTCCTCATCTTTAGGATAGTTTCCTAAAAAATAGATATTACAATTAATCGGGACAATTTCATTTCTTAAATTTCGTATATTTGAATTACAAATAGCAAATCTCAGAGCAAATCTTGCATCTCTCTCGACTTGCGTAGACTCGACTTCATAAGCGCTCTCATAACCATTTTCGCCTACAATTTTGTGTGCGATCGACCTCAAATTATCTTTTGCATCTCTTCAGAATGGTCGACCTCTAATGTATGCCACACCATTAACTAGCGGTCTACTCCTAAAAAAGTTATCATCCGACGTAGCGGTTAAGACTGAGCTATCACCGATCATGTAATGCCCTCATTTATAACACGTAGCCTCCATTTAATGTCTAATTTAGGGTTGGAAATTTAACTCTACATCATATATAAAGAAAGAAAATAGTGAAGCATGTGTGAAAAGAGAGTTTTTAAAGAAACAAAACATAGGAGAAGCATTAGTCAGATTATAGCATGAGATTTGACCATTATAATATGTTTTACTTAGGCAGACAAAGCGACCGTCTTTTACTATTTCAAGGGGAGAAGTCTTTTTGGCACTTCATTTTAATTTGTTCTTCTTGTGGTCTTACGGGGGCAAGTTGCTTTTGTGTCTTTTAAGCAGCTAAAGGGTATATGCCTATACCCATCAACTTCCTTGAAACTATCATAAAGGCCACCACAGAAAATGGTATCCAATGGACTCCATTACACTGCCCCTCACCACCAGTAATTTATTGAATTCTCTCTTTCCCACCCATGTCATGTTCCACCACATAATAGAATTCATTTAAGATTTAAATATTCATCTCCCATTATATGATTGAACAAGAATAATAAAAAGTGTAAATTACACTGTTACATCTTTTAACTTTTTGGTTTTTTACATAATATATCTTACATTTTTTAATTTTGAGCAATTATACCTTAAATTTTAAAATCAGTAATAATTGATGTCTAATAATTAATTAGTATTGTCAAATTGATAATTAGAAACGTGTGATTCAAAAATAAAAAGTAGAGCTCCTCACTTTTTAAATTAGGTTATGTACGAATCTCATATCCCAAACCATATTATTAAGCTTCAATTACTATTGATTTGAAAATCTGAATGTAATTTATAAAAATTGAACTTTTAGAGTGTATTACATAAAATAAATAAATAAAAATAAAATCTCATTTAATTCGTTGATTTAAATTTTTAATTCAAGTTAATATGTGATTTTATGTGAGAATTTTTTACTATAATAAAAAAAATTAAATATAACTTTTTATAAAAATTTTTAATTATAACAAAATTTAAATTAAAAATTTAAATTTATAAAATGAACGAATAACAATGTAATTTCTTATTCAACTTTATGTTTTTAATTTTATTTTTCCAACGTAGATGGTTTGTGGACATGTGGGTTTTTGTTTTTCTCTGAAAACAAAAATAAATAAAAAATCAATATTGTTCGACAATATATATTTTTTTATTTTTTATTTTTTTTAAGGCTGGTGGTCCAACGCGCGTGGAATAGCTTTTGTAAACAGGTAGTAATTAAAATACGCATCTAGAGGATGTGACCAGGTCAGATATGTCATGCTTTTGGGATCATTGCAATTATTGAAGTCATGCAGGCTTTAATGATAGGTTCGATAGAGAGAGAAAGAGGGATACATACATAGATATATATATATATATATATATATACACAGATATATGAATGAATTATTGGGTGGGACCCAATTTGAGAACCATGGGGGGATAAAGTATATACGAACCCCCTAATAACAATTTTGACAATGATAAGGTTTAGACAATTTTTGTACTGGTTGTTGATTTGTCCATGCTAACTAACTGGGTGTTGGACACGTGGCTTGATTATTTGTTCTAATCTGACCGTACACATTCTCTATTCTGGATTACGTTATTTGATCTTGTATTATTATAGATTGAGACACTTTTCAAGATATACATTAATTCTTCATTTCGTGTAACAATTGTCTTGTTCTTGATTCTTGGAGAAATTTTAATATATGAATCCATAAATTTAAATTAATTGAAACTGGTTTTTGTTAAGTTTTGGAGAGTTTTTTCCGCGTAGTCACTAAAATTTAAAAGATTTTTTTAGCACGCTTGTCATATCGGTATGTTAAAATTTTCAAACTATTAGATTTACATAATTTTTTTATTTTTATGTGATTTTAAGTAGATTTAACGGATAAAAAACTTAATATATCAGTATGTTAACGTATCAGAGAAAATCTCATAAAATAAATATTGGGATAAATATTATTAAGAAATGAGAATAAAAAAAAAATAAAAAATAAATTTAGTTGTCTAGTTAGACCACAACATATAGTGTACTTTTTTTTTTGCTCCCTCTAAACAACATACATATACTTTTGAATATTCAATATTGATTTTCCATTGAAAAAGAAAAATTATATAAGAATTTATCTGCTCCATTATCTTCAATTAAATAAAAATCCCGTTGTCCTAGTTAGTAAATATAATTGACCCGAGTTTTTTTTTTTTTTTTTGCTGCAAATATAATTGACTCGAGATTATGCATGCACCGTAATGTTTTGACTTTGTGATCTATTTGAAAGAATATTAATTGTTCCAGAAAATTCCATAAATTCAAAAGGTACGCAACGCAAGGTGACAAAAGTCCCATTCAATTAATGTGTATTTTATTAAGTGAAAATTTCATTTTAGTACCTTCTATTATATTAAAATTTAAATTTGGTATCTTTTGTTTTTAAAATTTCATATTGGTACCTCGATCTTTTAAAAAATAATTTTAGTATTTTAGGGTCATTTTTTGAGACAGGAAAAAATAAAATTACCTTTATTGTAAAAATTTTATCCGTTGACTCTAGAACTTTAAAGGAAAAAAAAATTTTAAAGAGATGAATTTTTTTAAAAAGTAATATGCTCTACAAGTATAACAATTTTTTAAATTTTTTTTTCTTTCAAAATTCTGGTTAATAGATGAATTTTTAAGATAAGGACAACATTTTCTTTTCGTGTCCCAAAAAATAGCTCAAAGGTACCAAAACAATATTTTTTTAAAAGGTCGAAATACAAATTTTTAAAACTGAGGGTACCAAACTCAAATTTTGATGTAACAAAGAGTACCAAAATGAAAATTTCTTTTTTATTAATAATAACCACCGAGCCACTAATTAGAAAAGTAAACCTTAGTTTAGTTGAATGGATATTAATGTTTGTAATTTTCTAAATGACTATAGCATAGATTTATTATAAGAAGACCAAAGAAAATTAGTTAGAAATGACATTTACCTAAGATTAAGAAGGTCGTTAGTTGAAAGCCTCATACAGTGGCTTCCACCCACCAGTTAATGGTCTTTTACTTGTCAAACAAAGACGAGGGAATATTATATGACAATCTAATTAGACTCTTTAATTGCTAAGATTTAGGATTGACTGACCCCACTATCAAAATATCAAAAACCAATCTCCTTATACAATAATGATAATGCAATATTATGAGGTAAATATCATCATTATCAACATCCTAATTTCAAAATTAAAAAGTTAAAAAAACACTCTTGACAAATTTGCTTCGTCATGTTAGGTAAGTGATATTAGTAAGTATGATTAATATAATGAGAGTTTCTCTGG